TCTGTTCACTCATGAATGGCAGCCGCCCTTTATACTCAGGTACAAGTAAGCAAATCTCTCTTGCAAGCTCTCACAGCACCAGCTTATTACTCAATTGAACTGTAAATTTCCCCTGGGCAAACCAAATTCAGAGACTAGGGAGGTAGGAACTGGCAAACCATGAACACGAACTTAAATAAGCAAATAAACAAACAGCACAAAAGTAAGTGAGAGCCTATCACAGAACACTACCGCATAAACTTTAAAAACTGCATCAAAAAGTCACCCAGGCGTGGTCCATTCTCATCCTTCGCTATCGTCACTCCTGTTTATCTTTCTGCAACTTCTCTGTGGGACTTGAAGATGGTGTAGCACATTATGTTACTTGTGTCACTGCACTCATCATGTATTGTATACGCCATCACCCCTTGCAGCACTGTAAAAATGCTGGGCTCCACACAATTGATTTGTGTTGGGACAACATAAAGAAATTAAGTTAACACATTTTAAGTTAAGTTTTAAGTTAACAAATTTAAGTGGATTGAACAGAAAAATAACCAAGAATTGGGTTTCAGCTCATTTTAAATGAGTAGTTTGAACAAACAGCAAACGTCCCTTTTTTCAGTGAGGTTTGTAGAACAGACATGAGCAACTCCCGTCCAGCAGGTCCACTGTTCTGAAGGGATTAACTCTAATGAAACATACCTACAAACATATGTCTATTGGATATTTATTATTACTTGAAAATGACAAGTAGGTGTATTTAATTGTAGATGAATTTAAAGTCCTAAGAACAGTACCCTTTCAGGACCAGATAAGCCAAGAATCAGGAGACGGAAGCATGAGGACAGAGGTGAAAAAAAAGAAAAGAATTTTCATCTAGTTCCAAACCTGCTCAGAGACCGTCATTTTGTTGGTGCCTGGTATGCCAGGCTACTCTAGACAACCTTTTTACCTCCCCTATATTCTGATCCCCCTTTTATGGTGGACAGCAATGACTTGTTGACTCAGTCACAACTGACAACTGCCCTTACATTCTGTTGCACATGGAAGTGAATTCATCCACTCACCCAGCATGCTTCCCCATGTAATTTTCCCCACCTGCAAGGGCTCTCTGATACAGTGTCCCTCCTTCCAACCAAGTTTTGGCACTAACATAACAATGTTCAAAGTCAAGGTGAGAAGGATGTGCAAACTGGCGAACATTGACGCAAACTTCAATCATCAAATAAACAAACAAATCAAAAATAAATGACAGACCTTCACAGATGACTTCAGCTTCCCATAAATAAAACGGCAACACCACTCTCAATCCGCTTCCATGGCTCTTGGTCCAACCCAACTTGTCACAAAATAACTTTTTCAAAATATTTTTTGGTTTTCACAAAAAAAAAAAAAAAACACTAAAACCATGGCCAAAATCTAGTTTTTGGAAGAACTGTCTATTAAATTATGCAAAATACCTTAACGTGAAGAGATCATGTTAACAACATATTGTGATGTTAACATATATTTAAATAATTTTCAAAATCATTTTGACTGGCAGTTTTCTATGAATATGCTCCTGCTTCATTTTATAGCACCTCCTAATTTTAATGACTCCTTTTTGTGAGTCACCTTGTGGATTCATCAAAGCAGCATTTACCAATGAGGCGGCCAAATATGCACAAATTGGTGTATTTCATACCAAGTCTTTTAGAGGAATTTTATTGTAACATAAACCATACTGCATGAGTTTTGTTTTGAGGACTAGTTTGTGCTCCGTTTACAATTGTCCTGCAACTGTCATGCAGTGTCCATTTGCATCCGAGTGGCTGAAGTTGAAATCAAATCATTTGGCAGTCCTAACGTGTTTTGATTTTTCCATTAGCAGACCAGTCGTTCTGGCGTTTATGCTGGCATGATCATAATTAGTCCCTTCCATTTGCATTATTGCAGTCAATTGAACCGGTAGAGCATTGAACCCCTGCTGATTGGCACTACCTGCACTGCTTTACAACACTGATCTGAGTTACAAGCCAGAGCTGGTTTTTGAACCCTGACTGCATTAAACCTGCTTGTGTACGTCGCTTTCCATTTGCAGGGCTAATGTGTCGCGGCTATGGAGCAACCTTCTAATGTGTGACACTTGATGGTGATGGGTGAATTAAGGTTGACTTCCAATCGATCAGGACCTCAGAACAGCTAAAGGTAGATAGCGGCATGCTAGGATTGGAAACCCTGCAGAACCCCTCCAGCCAAACAGCTGTTGACCTCTGCACGGATGCATGATCTTCTTATTTTACAGTCCACCTCTTTCACAATACCCTGATGGCCACTCCTCAAATCATACTCTGCTTTTTTCAGTCACTCTAGATCCTTTGTAGGTCATCTGCTATGGGCATGATTGTGCTTGATGCATCTGATAAATTTTTCTTCTGAGACACAAATAAAAGTAGAAGAGTGATGATTCATAGTTTATGTATATTGGACAATATGTCAAATTAAAATGTCTGGTTAAAAATGACCCAATTGGCAACAGGGTTAAATATTAATACATCCATAATATAGATCACATCCCCTTTTCAAAACATCCCTGACATTTGAGAAACAACAGACCTCAATAAAGGTTGAGTCAAGAATAATCTGAGTCTTTTTACAATATATAGTATAAAATACTGCATGGTTTTTAAAAAAAGAAGAAAAAAAAATGATTTAAAATATTTTGAGCATTAGGTTTGTGCATTTATTGATATAAAATTTTATGTTGAAATTTTTTGCGGAGTCATTTGTAATTCTTGAAATTCCAAACTACGAATGATAAGTGTACTGCATCTAGTTATTGCTATGGCTTTTACGTAGATAGTCTTCTTTATAAATGTATGAATCACCAGTGTTCTCATCCCTCTCTGTCATACCCTGTATTGTACCAATAAAAAAGCAAAAAGGTAGCAGTGAGTCAGCATGAGCGACTGCATTGTGATATTGTTCTGCAAACTGACAGGAGAATGTTTTTATGATATCATGAGAACATGTTAGAAACTAATACATCAACACATTAAATGATGAGCAATGATACAGTTGTCACATTTGAATGTCTGTTTGCATCAAAAACGTTCAGTTACATTTGAACTTGAGAATAACTAAATGAGGCCTCACAGCAAAAAGGTCACTGGTTCGAGCCTCGGCTGGGTCAGTTGGCATTTCTCTGAGGAGTTTGCATGTTCTCCCAGTGTTCGCTGGGTTTCCTCCAGGTGCTCTGGTTTCTCTTACAGTCCAAAAACATGCGTATAGGTGAATTGAATAAGATAAATTTGCCGTAGTGTGTGAATTCAAGAGTGTATGGGTGTTTTTCAGTGTTGGGTTGCGGCTGGAAGGGCATCCACCAAGTGAAACATATGCTGGATAAGTTGGCGGTTCATTCTATTGTGGTGACCTTTAATTATTAAAGAGACTAAGCCGAAAAGAGAATGAATGAATGAATAACTAAATGAGCAACACAAAAAGTGGGCTTTGAGCTTTAAAACAATAAAAAGGGTATAGCTTTATTGTGTGTATGTGAGGATTGAGTATACGCTGTTAGTTTTGTAATTATTATTTTAAAGCAATATTTTAGTATCACATAAAACTATAAAAAAAGTGTATGACCCTTTATTTTTGTTTATTTTAAAAAAGTACAGGTCAAATTGAATTGTCGTTTTATTTTTGCATTACACTGAATGACAAATGAAATAACTGTATATACTCATAAATAATGGTAACTTGAAATGTTTTGACTCTAATAATAAACTGCAGATACTCTTTAAGTAGGCTACACACTGAAAAAAATCTACTGAAAATGTGATTATTTCTGAGAGTGTAATTCATAAATTTCTAAGCGAGAATAAGATTTCTGATTGTATTAGATGCAGAATTACCATCTGGCTTGGCATTAGCAGGAATTTGAGCTTTATGGCTACATTCAGCTCCTCCTACAGTAGCACGTTCATATCCAAAGCAGGGCTACTCAAATTAATGAATGTGTGCTTCAAGATATCTACCTTTAGCGTTTGGAAGCCTACTACGCGACCAATTAGCCTATAATGCGCATTCTTGTTTATTGGCAACCTATACGACTGCGTCTCTCTCTCTCTCTCTCTCTCTCTCTCTCTCTCTCTCTCTCTCTCTCTCTCTCTCTCTCTCTCTCTCTCTCGTACACCAGTGCTCCGTCCACCTGTGCCTAGGTAACGTGATCACGCAATTAATGGCGGGAACGCGCACTCTGTTTCAGTGGTCCGCGTACCCGTTGCGCGCAGTAGTTCACCTCGGGGATTTCAGGAAATCTCAATATCTGTCTATTTCTTGCATGACTGGACTGGGATTTCAGTTGTTTTTTAATCTTTAGGTTCTTAAACTGTCGCATGGTGACAGGTAAGCGCTTCTTCGCTGTTTTGTCGATTGTTTACTGACATTTCCTCTGCAGTAGCCTATTTCACAACTCGCCACCCTTTAAACTTGTTTGCAAAACATTTCCTTCCAACACATGAGCGCTCAACACTCGCATGTGTTTTAGACACATCAGGTTATCTTATATTTACAACTTTCGTGATTACACTTTATGAAAGCAAGGAAACCGATGAATCCGTGCTCGTGTTCGCTGTTAAGTGTAACGGCATGCCGTGAACAAGACGAAGCACGCCCCCTTACAGCAAGTGCGCGGTCCCGTGACTTGCCCGTTAAACCTGGCTGAGTTAAAACTGTTATCCTCGCGCAGAGCTCCGACCTTCCCTACTACGAGAACAAGTCAAATCACAGTTGTGTTCTCTCTCTTTTCGCAGGGTCAGACCAACGGAGACAGGCATCTTCGTGGCGTAACAAAAGCGGTTCTGGAACAGCAAACAACGCTTAAGTCGTTTTATGGAGGCTTGCGGGACGCAGCGAAACATTTCGTAAAGTGCGCGCACTGAGGATATCAGTCCAGACCCCCTTTATTTCGGAACGTAGTCTTGTTTGGATTTCAGCCGGTTTGAAATGTGGCGTTATGTCCTCGAGATAAATGTGCTATGTGTGTGATTTGGAGAGGATCTTGTGGAAGGTGTCCAGTGGGAAAGAGACTGGGTGGACTCATCTGCAACTGATCCCCGTTTTTCTGAGCGCAATGGACTTGGAATGAAGACAAAACATGGATATAATCTGGGAAATATTTATTATTCTTCAAGCCAATCTCATTGTTTGCACTTCAGGTAAGATACTGTGAATTATGATTCTTTTGATGGTGAGAGCTTTGATATTCGTGCTGTTACAGCTCAAGCGTTGTGAAAAATGTTTCAGTTAATTTACGTTTTGTTGTAGTAACCTTTTATAGTTCAGTTTAAAAAAAATAAAACTTTATTCTGTAGGATATTTTAGATTTTTGTTCATTTTATATGTTCTGCAGTGTTCATATGCATTTAATTTATAGCATTTTGATTATCCCTAATAACTAAAAATAATCTTTGGAGGGAAAAAACAGTAGACTAATTCGGTTTTTATTTATTTATTTCTATTTCTATTTTTCATTTTGTGCGGCTGTTGTATTTCAATGAATGCTCCGTTTGCCATCAAATACAGCCTAACAACTCAGTTGAGTATGTCAAATGGGCAAGCCATAGCGAGTTATGTTTATAAATTAAATGACATAAAATGTATTTAAATAACAACAAATAAGTCACGGATTATGAGGTTCCCTTTACTAGTTATGTAAGGTATTGGGCATCACTGAACAGACCAAAATGTAGACTGAATGGAAACTACAGCACGAACCCCTCTCCAGTCTTCTCTGTCATCATTTCCAATCCCTTGACAAATATAATGCAGGATAATCGCGTGGTGTCGATTTTAGCTTGACATCTTGGGTAGGCTATTACGTTGTTAAAACGAACAGTTACGCAAATAACTTAGCCTATTTATACAGGCATAATTTTGAATGACTGTCATAAGCAGTTTAACCAAGAATCATGAATATCATTAAATGTCTAAACAAATCAAGTCCTTTCTGGTTCAACTTTAAAGCTCCTCGTGAGAGGTTTATGGCGCGCGTCCAGCAGCGTCGCCCACACGAGAGCTGGACGTTGATGGCAACACAGCGCGCAACACATCCGTCTTTCTCGTGATGCGTGGGACAGACAACGGGCACGTCCTTGACCACTGCTTGGCATTTGAAAGCTTCCCTTTTTATTAGTAGCCTCGTAATTTTTCATGATATTGGACAATCAACATGATTCTACAGAATGCATCCATTTAACGTATGGATTTATGTTTAGGAAACACTTTTTTTAAGTGACATTACGGATGAGGTCAGTTTAGGATGTGTGGCTTGTTTTTACTGTGGATGCTAAGAAAAAAAACGGGTACCTTTTATAATGCCACTCTGAATTCTAATCAAGGATCAGGATTTTTCCTCATCCATAGTGATGTCAAAACTTGTTACTGGTTTCTCTAAAAATCTGTTTTACTGATGTTCAAAGATTGATCTCAGAAGGTTGAAGGATTGAAGAGCATTTTGATTGTTTAGTTACCTAATGATATTACTGCCCTTTTTTCCCCTATTTAATCTACTTCTAACATTGGCATTTTTGTTTCTATTGAAAATATTTTTTAGGTGCAAAGCACAACAAAAATGTTACACAAAAAAGCAGAGCCAGACTGAACGTGAGATTGCTATTTGGTATTTGCTTAATATCCACTAGCCTACACAGCCTGTGTGACGTCAAAGGTTGTTTCAAAGGAAGAGCAAGCTTTTTCATTTTTTTATTTTTTTATTAATGATTGATGGCCTTTTTTAATATAAAATGTCCAATGGATCATTCAAAATCAGAGCAGATGCGCATTAAAAAAAAAGGAATGTCAAACATTTGGAATTTATGATTTAGCAAGGTCGTAACCATAGCTGATTCTAGAATCACATTCTTAACATAGTAGACAGAAAAAAAAACGAAAAAAAAAAAACATTATGACAAAAGTCTGAAATCATTTCAGAAGCGTAGCCAAAATGGCCTGCACTGCTTTTGATTAGTTTCTCAATATACACTGTACTGTCCCATGACACCTTAAGAGAATTTATGAATGACAGTGAAGCGTCACTGCTGATGCTGCTAGATCAAGTGACCATAATCAGAATATAGTACATCCAGGTTTCACTCTCATTACAATATAATTATTAGTTGCGTAATATTATTTGGAAAGTGTTGAAATAATAGTTTAAAATGTACACAAACTCACACTTAATTACACTGAAAAATGACTGAAAAAAAGATGAGTAATTGAATTTACAAATTTATTTTAAGTAGTTGTGAACAATTTATTTGGGCTGAATTTAAACAAATAATTTAAGTTAAACAGTACTAAATTTAATTTGTTTAAATTCAGCCCATTTAAACTGTGTACAACAATTTTGCAGAAATAATTTTTTCAGTGTAGATGCCCAATTTGAGACATGAAAAAGGGATAATGCCTTGGCATATAACTTCAAAATGATGAATTTTATAAAAGCAGTAGAATGAGTTAACATTTAAATTATAAGATAGTTTTTAATTTCTTGCATTTGTACTTGCATTTGACTTTTTGTGGATGTTTAAGCTAACATTACATGCTGGAATTTGCACACTCTGCTTCTAGTGATGGGGAACTCATTCTATTTTGTTTGGAAATCTCATTTACAGTATTATGACATGGAGCTTTTATGACTTAAATAGTTTGATTGTGTTCCAAATGACACACTATGCACTTATAAGCTATGCACTTTCACAGTCAATCCTGTAGTGTGTAGGTTTACTGTTGTAATAAATGACCAAACTAGCACATACTACCTGTCATGAGTATAACACATTCACGGTTGAGATGTGGCATAATATTTTATGTACACTGTAAAAAAAAAAAAATGCAGGGCTCCACATAATTCATTTATGTTATCCCAACACAAATCAATTAAGTTAACTTAACACTTTTAACAAATTTATGTGGATTGAACATAAAAAATAAGTTTTCCTAATGAAATCTAAAGAATTGTGTTGTTTCAGCTTATTTTAAATAAGTAGTTTGAACAAGTAAAAAAAAAAGAAATTAGTGTAGGATAATTTTGGTGGAAGAATCTGATAGTTCTCTAATCTGACTTTTTGTCATGTAAGTAATACAAGTATGCAATTTAGGACACACCTTTTGTGTCCGTAACAGCAAACATTGTGTAAAATAACTGAATGCCAAGAAGTGCAATATTTACTGAAAATGGGGTGGGTCAGTGGGAAAATGGGCCATTTCTTGTAGTTGGCTATAGTGCATCATTTCATTGTTTTAAACACATTTTCAATTTACACAGCCATCATTCCCAAACAACAGAAGCTTTTTATGTACTTCCAAAGCTGTTTTCCCCAGCTGTTTTTTTTTTTTTGTCTTTTATCAGCAATTGTATTGTTTTTTTCTGACAGATGGAAAACACTCAATATTGCTGTTTAAAATTTTTTTTAGCTTATTTTGAAGGTCAGATTTATCTCTTTTTCTTTGGTATATAACAAGGAAGTTAATCTCAGTGGGTTTGTTTATCTGGACACCATGCTCACAAAGATCAAAGATTCCATTTTGTCCCCACTACAGTTGTAATTGGACCATAACGAGTACCATCTTTCTTAGCTCTTCGGTTTCCAGGCATTTTTACTGGAACATCATAGATTTTCACTGACATTTGCAGAGCATGAGCATTTGTTTAGTTATGGCAGTTAACATTTGCTTTGATGCCACTCTGGCTCCAGCAGAACAGAGTCTCCATTCTCAAAATGTGCAGAGCATCTCCTTGTGTCAGTGTGCAACTGCAGATTTAGAGGGACTGCATTAGGGGTTGATATAAAATCAATTACAGGTGGATCAATAATGAGATTCTTACTGGGACTGATTTATTTGTGGTTTTTTGTGTTGATGCTCTTGTAATAAGACCTGTCAAGTAAACCTTACTCTACTGCCCTCAAGAGCTGCACTAGTAATTGATGTTAGATGATGTGGTCTTTGGTGTCTTTGTTTTTTTTTAGCTTGCCTCCTATGACAACAAACAAAAACAGTCGTCAAATCTTGATCATTTTGGGTAGAGAAGATCTGGAGGGTTATACTCTGAATGACCATGAAACGAAGACAAGACTGTTAGCTTGCTTGCTTTCATTTGGTGTGGCTTGCTTTTACACTGGCATTTTAGCAAGTGAATCAGCAATTGTAAACAAAACTACATGTGAACTAAAATCAGCCATTTATTTCATGCCTGTAGACTAGTTAATAGGGTTGGGTCTATAGATGATGCCATCGCCGATGGGCAATACGTCACAATGCTGAGCTGCCATCGTGATCTTCTGCCTGGTCCCCACTGTAGCAGCATACCCTACTCTGTCATGTGCTGCAGTGTAGGCTATACGCGTGTCTGACTCTGAGCTCCAGCAGTCAGCGGGTGCTTTAAGCACAAAACCCTAGAGAGCAGTGCACATCGGACAGTTTATCAAGGATGTACTGCTGGATCGCGTCTCACTCTAGTTGTTAAACGTGATATTTAATTCATCTAGTCTATATCTAATGACTCTTGAGTCAGGTAATGTGTGTGAGCGTCAGTACACTTATTCAATATTTCACTTTCATGCTTGAACTTGGTAATTTTAGTGAAAACCTTAGATACTGTCGATTGGTTCCTGTTGGTTGTGCCCCTTTTATTACCAACCAGGTTTGTTGACTCCATTATCACGACGCAGATCACTCTGCCTATTCATATACCAGAGTCCTGCGAAAAAAGCGATTAACAGGTGGTAATATGTGTGTAACTTTATCTATCTTTATGATTTGGTTATGGGTAAAACGAAGACCATGCGGGTCAGATAGTTGAAACGGTAGGCTACCAATAATTAATTCATTATGAATGAATTAATTATTTATAAATAATTAATTTACCGTACCAAATTGGCCGACATCGTCCAACTCTACCACAAACAAATACAGTAAACACTGCAAAGCCCATTTCATAACATGTATCAGAGCTACTGTAGAGTTGGGGTTTGTTAGTTGTGGTTCATTAGAGCATGACTGATGGTTGCATAACAATAGCAGCAAACTGAAACTAAGGGATCTTTAAATAAATTTCAGGTTTTCTGAATTCGATCAGATCATATTCACACTTTAAACAAACTGCACCACAACCCATTTAGAAGCTAACAAAGATGGCCTGCTCAGGTGGGTCTCA